TTCCCGTCGATAAGCCAACGCATAGCGTACGAAGTTCACGTACGGCACTCTACCGAGATCTCCCCGAAGATTACTCGAAAGCGCTTCGACGACGAACTGTTCTTTCATCGGCAGGAAGCGTGTTAATCTTTGCGCATAGCGCTACTTGCAAATCTTCACGACAATCGGCCGCAAACGCGTAACCCGCAGAATTCCGTATTCGGAATTTCGACTCTGTTAAACCTTAAATTCTACAATGCAGTAGGAGTTAAGTTAGCAAAGTAAGTTTAATTATAACGATATTTATTTTACTCTGATAATGCCTGAAATTTTCCTTTTCTTTAGTGTCAAAATAAGCATTGAATGGAATAGTAAGGCTGAAAGTAGGATCAAAATTTCGACTCAGATAGATTAAATAGAATCAAAAGAAGTTGATGTAGGTTTCAGAGTATTAAAATAAGTGTTGAGTAGAATAGTAAGGCTGGAAGTAGAATCAAAATTTCGATTCGAGTTCACTTTAAGAGAATAGCTTCCCTGCGCAGCAAAAGAAGAGCAGAAAGAGGCGATTCTTGCGCGACGAAAGCGAAACTCTTTATCGTTCGCTGTACCGCATGAATAATCTGCTCTCGCTCTTTTATCGGTCTTTCACGAGCATACGGATGCGACTTTACCCGGAATGACGTTCGTTTTTAGGAAGGGCATAATTAAACCGGGAAAAGTGCACGGGCAGTGTATGTGTGTGTTTGCCGTTTGCTCGAATAAAATTAACTGGCCGGCGGCGCAGACCATAATCAATTTCGCACGGCGGCGTCCAATCTCGAGCGGTTAAAAGGGTTCAAAAAGATACGCGTTATGATGATGCGCGGTATATTTCGCGAGATACGCATCGCATTTTATTACGGTTTATGCAATAGCGAGGCGAGGCCGCGGCGAAACAATATCGATAACATTGATATTCAATTACTACACCGAGATACCCAGGTGAAATATTCTCCGCGGGATATTACCGTGTCGCGTTGTTTACACGCGCCGCAGTATTTTACAGTTGTAGCAGCGCTCCCCCCTCCTCATTAGCGAAGCGAAATTACTCGTATTCGATTATCTTCCTGCAAACGCGAGCGCGCGTCGCCGATAGCGGAAGCGCGCACGACGCGATGTCATTGATAGCCGCGCCGCTTTGTTTTACAGATTACGCGCGACGTTTTACGCGATTGCTTTAACGATTGGCGATCAATCGGGCGATTTCACGGGATCGACTTCCGGGATCGCAACCTGGATCAAACTATCTGGCTAGCCCAGCTCTATCCTCCGCATGCTTGTGTCACCGACCAACCGACCGACCAACCGACCGGCCGACCGACCGGCGGCCTGTCTGTCTGCCTGCCTGCCTGCCCGCCCGCCCGCGTAGACAAGGGGGTAGATAAAATCGGCATTACATTTAGGGACACGCACGTGCAAACCTATTAACGAACGCACGCTCACGCACCCGAACGAACGAGCGAGTGCGCGATGCCGCGCTCTGTGTAACTTGGCACGCACAAACGCACATACACATACACGTACGCGATCACACAACGATGATCAGTGTGATTTACGTGCCGCCGCCCGCTGTCCCAGAGCAACCCCCGCGAGCTCCGTGTCACCCTATTAACCTGTGAAGAGCGCTCATGCGTTACTATGAAATTTTGGAAAACGGCTTGGCTCGACGATGCCGAGTCTCCTTCGCTATGACGGGAATGCCGGTTTGCTGTTTTAACCCTCAATGTAAAATCATTCGTTTTTTTTGTTTTTTTTTTTAACAAACAGTGCGATGTCTGAGTCTATCAGACCCAGTAATTTTGACTTATCCCATAACTTTGTTGAAAATCGATTTTCTTGGATACAACTTTTTGAGAGGTATGAAAAAACTTCAGTTATAAGATAGTATATCCGTGATTCTGATGTGGCAAGTGCTTTTACAATTTAAAATGATCGTCAAGTCTTCTGCTCAGAAAGCGAGAGGAGCTCTATATTTATTTTCGAATGCCGCGAAGAAGACCGAGATAGATTTGTTTGATATACCAGAATCAAAATTTTAATTCTATTCTCATTGCAGATTCAAGTATATCTTTAAACGCATAATGTAATTTAGCTAAAGCTCTTTTTGCGTTTTTTGCGATTTTCAATCATATCATTTAACATGTTCAAGAGACGTGTGGATTACAATTTAATAAGTTTAAACGTGACGTGACTTAAAGCGATAAAAAACATGTAAAAAGAGATTCAGCTAAAGTGGCACAATTGGATTTGCAATGTTAGACTTGAATTTTCTAACATCTATGTATTCTGAGAAGTCGGTGTATGTGTAATTGTGTGTATGTGGAAACTGAATGACATGGAAACTGAAATCCTACTTAGCGCCTCTAAATGACAGAAAACGCTTGTAAGTACTAAAGAGGTAGAGTTAGTAAATTAAATAACATCATGCGTTTGATGTGCTCGATGCAGGCTTTAGAGCTTCAAAATAGACATGTTAAATAGTTATTGAAGTTAAAGATATGAGTAAAATTTTTCAACTCGGGATATTCTTAAGTCTCGCTAAAAGTCCCAAGCTAGAACAGAAAAGAGCTCACCCAGCCAGTTATCCTGTGCGAACGCGCTCTTTAACGAGCGTCTCAACTAACCGCTCGGACACTAACGATATTTTAATTGATAAAATTTTGCAGACGCCAGCGCAGCCCCCGCTGGCGGTGGACACAAATTTTCAATTTTCGCTGTCGCGAGATGGCGAAAAAGTTTAATTGCCGGCGTCCCGCCGACGCGCTGTTCGCGCGGAACTTTTAAAGCATTTCCGGTCGACTTGGACGAGCGCTTTGCCGGCTATCGTTCCGGGAGAGAGTTGGACGAAAAATTACGGCGTAAGAAGCGGAAAAATATTGTTTTGAGAACGCTCTGTAACACGGCGCGCTGAAATTTCTCACGCAGACGTCTACATCCCGCGCGCGGGACACCGCGAATATTATTCGAGTCGTTAACTTTGAAAAATAGTGCGAGAATCTTCCCGAAATCGGTACGCTTCGCTGATTTACGCCTTCGTGGAACTTATAATGTTCACAAAGCGGACTTTATCGCAGGGAGATTTCGCGAAGCCGTCGCTTCACTCATTTATTGTCACACGGCGCCGTTATTACTTATTTCTTCCCACGAACTCTCTTCGTACTTTTCGCGCAGTCTGTCTCGGCCGTGATTCAAACCTAGGCTCCGAAATCTGCCCGAGTTCGCCGGAATCAGCGCAGGAAATCGACGGTTTATTTAGATCTCTATCGATCGCAACGTGCACGCGGTCTCATTTCGCGGTGTTGCAGCAGCATCGATATAGAGCTGCGTTCGTATTCCGGCACACGTATAAATTACATCGAACGAGCGGTACTACGCATCAGGCACGCATTGCAAACGTTTCACGCTATCCGTACCGGAGACAGCAAGCGCGCTCGTTAATACACCGTGCGTGTTTTACGCATCTTAACTGTTAACCGGATCGCCGATGATTATCATCGCCAACCTTGGCACGACTGGGAAGTTATCTGGCCGTTTGGTCGAAGCAGGTCGACCAGGCCAGGTGAGCCAGTCCAGGAAGCTGCCCTGCGTGAATGTACCGGCCGGTCCTCCTGGATACCGGATCGTCCGTTACGAGCGCAACGACGGCTCGCGATATCGGCGTGACTGTGCAAGGACATAGCTGTATATTTTCTCACGGATTCCGCCCGGATGCCTCTCGGAAATATCTCGCGAGATCTGCGCTTAGTCATGCCGCAGTGCATATTTCATATAGTATCTATTCGCCGCGGGGCTGCGGTGGATCGTTGTATGTGTATTTTCCGCCAATTATTTTCTCCGCGTTCTCTGCCCGAGGTACGAACGGGTAGACCGCCGAGGCTTTTTCTCTGTTTCTTTGGATAGGCGCAGAAAGAAATATCCCGCATCGTTAAACAATCAACAGCGCGTATTCGATAAATCGATCCTTGCCTCTGGCGAAAGCGAGCATCGCAATGGAAAAAAAGTAATTACGACAGTACCATAAAAATCTCGAAATTTCGTGAATGCGGTACAGTCTCGACATGCCACGAATTTCGTATGTTTTCATTCCCCTATGCGATTTTTTGTACACATTATAATTTGCTTCGATCGTCAAACTGGACCTGCAAATATCTTTTACCCGTAAATATTTTTAGAGAGAGAAAGAGAGAGAGAGAGAGAGAGAGAGAGCTGCCAAGATATTTTTAGAGTCCGAGACAGTTAAAAACTAACGCGGAATCTCTCGCGGAAAAGCCAAACCGTCTGACATTTCAATAAGCAAATCTCAGGCAATGCCTTTGAACCGGTTATGCGAGCGTAGGTTGCTCCGATCACACAGTAACATATCCCGAGCAATCAAGAACCAACCGATGTAGGTGAACTCTAAAACGGGCGCTTGAGAAAGACGGCTCTTTTACCAAGCTCCGGAAATTGACTGTCTGATAAACACAGGAGAAGAACGTTTCTCTTTCGAAAACAATGAAAGCCAGGTCTCACTTACTATCGGGCGAAGAGCGCAGCGCGAGCGCGACTTAAAGTTACGCGCAATTTGCGTAACTTTATGCCCCAAGCATCGTCGGAATTAGCAGACGAGATCGCGGCGCGAATCGCACATCGAATCCCCGATTCGCGGTGTTTGATTATACAAGCCGTCGTCGCGGTCGCGAACGGGATAACATCACGCACGTTACCGTTGCACTTCCGGCGGCGACGGCGGCGGCGGCGGCGGCGTCGGCGACGGTGGTGGGAGGCTAGCACGTGGTCGTGAATTCACCCTCTCGTTTGCACGACGCGGCCGGCGTTCGCGAAGGTCGCGCGCGCGCCGTTGAGGAAAGAAGAACGCGTACGACGGTTCGGTGGTTGAATAAGGCCGGCCGAGGGAGGGAGCGTGGCGCGCGGCTGCGCGCGCACTCTCGGGCCACGCTGCCGCCGAGCGCGTGGTCGCGCCGCCTCAGTAACTGCGCAACCTCCTAGCGGGTTGGTCACGTCCGACGAGCGTCCGAAACTCACGCGCGTCCTTCCCAGGCCGTCGCTCGACGGGACTCACTACGAATTTCGTGTCTCTACTTGTCTGTCCCTCCTTCTGCTTCAGATGTTCTTGTCGCGAAGAATGACACCGTGATCACAGATTCGCGGGCGCTCCATGCCGTCCAAGCTGATCGCCAGCTAACTTCGTGCGACAACCGAACTGTCGAGTGCCTTTCGGAAGAAGTGCGCGAAGTGACAGTACCGTTATAGTCGGGAATTCGAACCGTGTTTGGAGACTGAGAGCCTGAGATCATGAGAGCGCTCGTTTACGTCGCGCTCATCGCGACGACTGTCGTCGCGGAGCCGAACGATCCGGTGAACAAGTCGCTGACGATAATGAAGTGTTGCCGAAACAACGAGGGCTTTCGATTCTCTGACGATCCGAACGAGTTGCCACGCTGCCAGCCGTCGTCGGTCCCATGGAAGCCAGTGATTTACTCGCCAACACGGCAAAAATTCGTCGACATACCATCCGAATGGAACGTCGTTGACGGCATGAGACCGAATTGTGATGACAGTAGGAAACTGACCCACGTGCCCTTCAGGACAGGAAACCCATTTTTTTTGCTCGACAACGGCAACGTGATACTTGAGATCAGCAGTCACGAGGTCTTCTCTCCAAGCCAATACTGCTCTGACAGTAGCGACTTGCTCATTTGCGTGCAGAAAAAATCAGGCAGTCACGCCGCCGCGACGATGAGGCCGCGTGTACGACGATGCTGCGGTGAGAACGCCACTTACCACGAGCACGGGTAAGTTTTGAACGAACGCGGGCAACTAGACAAATAGAAGCTTCGAAAAACGTCTTAAAAACACCTAAGCGACATTTAGCAAAAAGTCATCTGAGAAAGTAAGACGTCTTGTAGAAGTGTCTGCTACCTTAATTGACACGCGCAAGTGTCTTTCTCGGAGAGTCGGTTTTGCGACAATGCTGCCCGGAATTCATGTCGATTGTGAGTGAATTCTCTCGTTCTCTGTACCGTAGACGTGACTAGAATGACGAGGTTAGAATGATGAGGCTAAAACGACAAGAGAATTTCATTTCGTACAGTCGAGTCGCGACTTGACGTCTGAACGTCCGCGAGTCGTACGTAACGATCTCGCAACGTTTACGTGATGCTTCTTTCACGCTCAAAGCCTGCTTATTGAAGATATTATCGGGAATTAGCGAATATTATTACTCGTTACTTGAACATATCGCAGGATAAGTTCACACATGTGACATTTTAGCCGATTGTTTACTTCTCCGAGAAAGTCAAGGACTCGCAAGTCGCTCCTCTGCATTATTGTGTATCTGACTTGTTTACTTATCGCATACCTACCGAGTGAAACGCGTCAAACACACGTTCTATCTTAACGTTCATGACGCGTAAGAGTTTCTAGTTTTAGAATATTCGCGTAGAATATGCGCGCATTAATTCTATAGGGATTGAGGGGATAAAGAACAGCACATTCACACACACATACACACAGTCTAAACAGAATGTTATTCACCGTAGTCTTAAAAATGTGTCCGTCTCGTTCGGCGATCGCTAAGGAACTAGTGCAGGAAAAATCCTATTTGCGCGATGAATTATTCGCCTCGAAAAGCGCAAATGTTTTGCGAGGAACCGCGGCGTCGCGAGTTACTACGTAATAGATCGAGAAGTTCCTTCGAAACAAAAGGAGCCTACAATTCTCTAACAAATTATACGCATAATGTCATTCAACCATTTCAATTTCCACTTGAGACATTTTCGAGGTAAATATATCAAGAATTGATAATATCGTACGTTCGATTCGAGAATTCTTCGATCGCAATTGCTCCAATCACGATCCAATCGTGATCTAATCAGGAGTAACTAAAGCCAACGGCACACGATGTTTGTTTTCGTGCTGGATTGTTTGCCGGATGGAGATATTCTGTTTTGATTGGTGCATTTCCATTTATCTTCAAAAATGCACCAATCAGAACAGACTATTTCCATTCAGCAAGCAAACTAGCACGAAAACAAACATTATGTGCCGCTGGCTTTACTATGATGAGTAACCAATTCGTGCGCATCACGTGACTTGAGTTGATACGTAGAGAAATTTGAAGGCGCCATGTTTTTCCTGGATTCGTAACAATAGTTAACACTCGTGCCGATCGCAAGTATTCGCAATTACAACAGGTATGATCGTCTATGGAACAACTTGAAATAAGGTATCACTGATCAGCTACATATTTAGCGCGCGGTTGATAACATAAAAGTGGAAAAAGAGGAATTATCGATACGTGAGATTGTTTAAGAATAGTAACAGCTAACCTCTCTCAGCATCTTTAGTAAAGTTCGCTATTAAGTGCAACATCTCGTTTTCTTTTCGGATCAATCGCGCAAAACAATATTCCTCGTAGAAAACGAAGAGAAAAAGCTTGTTGTCGAGTGCGGTTGTTGAGTCACACTCGCGTTTCAGCATCGCGGCTTTGTAATAACACGCGGAAAAAAAATATATTGTTGCAGGAATACGTGCGTGCACTTGAAAGAGACAGCGGACGCACCTCCCTTGCTGCCAAATACTAATTCTGCCATTGAAATTATCGCGGGATTCCCAACCTGTCCCAAATCCGACAACTTCACGATCCTGGGAGACGCAAAGGATGCCGTGTTAAAACCCGACGGCGGCCTTGAGATAAAAGGAGTCTCCCTACCAAGCGGTCAGTTTTGCGTCGAGAGAATAAAGGAACTCAACCAAGTGGCCAAAGTGTTTGCCTGCCCCGAGCACGCACCACAGAGGTTAGTAAAAGATTTAATATATTTTATATATTTCATTCCCTCTTAGATGTATAATGTTGAGTACATAGCGGGAAAAAGTATAACCATTACATTTTACCTGAAAGATACAAAGTTATTAATTATACAACTCAATATATTTTTCCTCCTGCACTTCGACCTGGATGTGCAATGGCGCGTTTCGTGAGCCAAGGTAGTAAAGTTTCATAAATCGAGATAACATTGTGGAATGCTGTAGGGACCGTTACACAAGTCCACTTATTATCTGAGATCGAATCTATTTCAATATTTGTTCGAAATAGTAGATAATACGTAGTGATAGCACATGATGATCGGACACTGTGTCCGATCACTCATCCCTTTCTCAACCGATAACAACCGGTTACGAAGTACCCCAACTGCAGCGTAACTGTGTTCCACAATAGCTCCACAGAAAATAATACGTTGCCCTCGTAATCTTATCTTACCCTCCGTGTGAAATCCCGATATCTCCGAGCTTTTCCGAGCAGCGTTTCATAATTGATCGGATTACCGCGCGATAACCGGGCACTGACAACGCTAATATTGACCCGTCAATTATGCAAATACGATCTTGTGTCGTTCTTGTTCGCCCGATCATCGCTCATTCGTCCCGTCTAATGAAGAACAAAATTGAGCGCCGGCCGGTTCGGTCAAGTCGACCCACTTTAAGGCCTCGAGCACGATCCGACTTTTTGCCCCGTTAACTATCGCCTGCCGGGATCTGAATTTATCGCACGGCTTAATTGCACGTTCGACGGTAGCCGCGCGCCGCGAGGGATAAACGCCGGCCGTTCCTGCGTCGTTCGACGACGTGTGGAGAAAAAGTCGAGCCCTTCCCCACTTTCACTTCCCATCGAGCATTTCTAGGTCACGTATGTCCGATCCCGCGTCATGCCGTTCCTCGAAAACGTCCTCATAAGTCGGCGCTCGAGCCAGCGCGCGTTCCACGCGATTCCGAACGCGTGTATGTATGCCGGGAGCGTGTACCGCGACGTCGTGAAAAATCCAAGTAATGCGTCTCTCTACAGTTACATGACATAATCCGACGCGCTAAACGTCAAGCGTATCGCACATTTACGGTATCCTGCACACGTCGCATAAGACAGGGTTAGGAGATCTCATTTGCTGAGACGCGCGCATCCCGCCGGCTAAGGAGACCCGTGACAGATTGACGGCCTGACACGGGACATCGTTGTTAGCGAGATCCGACCGCTTCTATTTGGTACACGACATATTGCGTCGCGCGGAGCGTATACCGTTTACCCCGGAATCCCATTCTCTCTAGAAAGAAAGAATCGGCAGAACAGAAAGATCTCTTTAATGTATCTTCCTGCGACGCTCTGCAACACCGAATGAATCATCGCGAACACGTCGGAGCTCGGTGTCGCGTGTCGTGAGATTATTTCAAGTTCACCTGACTCTCTGAAACGTGTCGCGTTTGTCACGCGTGGTTCCTCGCGAGAGCCCAGGGAATTTCTGCCAACTCTACGTGCGAGCCAAACTCACGGAAATCTCGGAAACGCTTTCTCCGTGACTTTCACCGGATACACCATTAGCGTGTGTGTGGAAAGCGTTGTAGGGAGCGTGTCATTGCGGCACCGGATCGAAATTGAAACCGCGATGAATATGCACTTGCGGTAAATGTGATCCCGACGAATGTAAATCGGACGGTGTCCGAATGAGCGGTAACACGAGGAGATCCGCGGCGAGAAATTATTTCAGCCTGAATCTTTCGGCGAGTGATCTGGCGAGGGGGGGGGGAGGGGAGCAAGGGAGGGGACTTAATTAAAAGCGGACGTAACGATCGTCGAATAGTGCGGTATTACTTCCGTCATAAAGAATCGATCGAACACTTGGCTGACGCCCAGTGCTGGCGGTGAGCCAATCGGTCAATCGTCGATGTGACGTCGATAAAGCTGCCCGAATGTAATTAATCGCGACAGCGCGGCGAAGTAACCAATGGCGTCGCTAATTTCACCTTTTCTCGTTTCTTCTCGCCCGTCGCCGTGGATGGAGAAGTGTCGACGGCATCAGGATTTACATGCTAAATACACGGTGAGCCGTCGTTGTCGCCCGTTGTTTAAAGAAAAAACCACTTACGGGAAACTGGGAGAGTACAGTCTGTGTGCAAATTTACGCGGCGGTTAACTTGTCGCAAAAACAAACGCGCCGCCAGACAACGATCATTGTTACTTTGCCGTTAATTGTTATCGTTATCGCCCGAAATTGACGAATAAATTATTATACGTTGTTTGGGTTTCGCTGTGTCCGTCGCTAATTGTTGCATACGTCTGAATTACGGATTCATTGGGAAAAGGGGGGAAGGGGGAGGGGTCTTTCCATTAATACGCGAACGCGTGATGAAGCATAATACTATAGCAACACAAATTAAACGATACTCCGTTATTTGATACATGCGTTAATCCGCTCTGCAACGCGCTATCGCGATGACAATCGGTTCTGCGTACAAATAGCTGAAATTCAAAATAAAAGGGGAGGTAATTGATTGTGTAAGGCAAGAGGATTTGTATCTGCCAATGCGCGCGTCTACATTTTTCTGTCTCTCCACGAGAGTGGAGCCAAGTGCACTCAGAACCAAAAGCCAGACGTCAAAATGAGATGACGCTGGCGAACTGTACGCAAAATACACCGAAAGTAATGTCGCGGGCCATTCGAAATTTTCAGGCCGGTGATGCAAGCGCCGGACATCAGGTTCACCTTGTATCCCGTGGGCTTCATCATTAGCGCCGTCTTCCTGGCAGCTACCCTCGCAGCCGGTTGGCTGCTACCAACCTCTCATCACGTTCTGCACTGGCGCTGCCAGACTCATCATGTCGCCTGTCTGATGCTGGGGGATATTCTCATGGCCATCATTCAGCTTGCTGGGGATTCCCTTCATGACGGAAGCTGCAAGGCGCTCGGTGAGTCCCAGCTTATTATTGCCTTGTTAATTTTTTTCATCGTCGTTTCTTTCACTGTGCTACGAGGGCGCTGAAAGCCGCTGTAATTACGGCAACTTTAAGTCTCGTTACTCCGTCGGGCACGAAGAAGCGCGAAATACATGAGCGAAACTCGCGCTCGTCATTTTTCCCCGAGATATCGAGTCAAAGTGCAGTCCTATCCTGTTAACTTATCACACATTTTCGGACGAAAGCAAGACTGCAGGAGCAAAATTCTAATTCAATAGAATTCAATTCCCCCGATGCGAATCTTTTCGCGCTTCTTCCGAATATTCTTGGAATATATTTCGGGTTATTTTTCGAAACACTACGTTTTTAGAAACAAACATTCCGCTAATCATGTGTCTCTCACGACACAAAAATCTCAACTGGTCGAAATTATTTGGTTGACGTTCCGAAGTCTCGTTTTTATTGCGTCACGTGCTGAGTCCGCCATCTGTCAAGCAATTGGCGATTTTCCGGAAGATAACGCGAACAGCCGATTCCACTGCGACAATTCTCCGCACAATAAACTATATTTTAATAGCAACGTAAACGAAAGAACGAACAATTCGCTGTTTATCGGAGCGTTACAATCGTCCAATATGCTTCTTTTATTAACGCCCGTCGCTATGAATCGAAGCGACGCGACTCGGATTAAACGAAATTGAAAACCAACCGGGCCTTCGCGCTGAACGACAGGCATATTAAAAGGCAATAAAAAAATAGAAATAATGATTTCAGTGACTTCGCGAAATTGGAATTTAAAGAGACCGAATTTAAAGAACGATGTATGCGAATTTCTCATTTCGTTTAATTTTCCTCCGTTTGCTATCCCGGAGTAAGTTCACTGATCTATCGACTCGTCTCGATAACTGAGCTTACCGAGTAACGCGTATGAAAGGAGCTAAGTGTTTAAATTTATCGTGAAAAGCAAGCTGATCTCGATTAAATGCTCTCTACAATCGTATTTTATCTGTATAGCTACACGGGAAAAATATCTTAATTTGTCTTTTTTTTTTTAATTTTTTGTATAAATTCTTGTCAATTTTACTAATGCGGGAATAGATTGCCGTCAGTCTTGCTGAAGAACATAGTAAATTTCGCTAGAAACAGCACATTTTTTAATGGCATATTTCAGTTCCTAAGATATAAATAGCATATCTGAAACGAAGAGATAGTCAGTTACTGCGGAATGTCAATCTGTTCCTCGCTTGAAAAAAATCCCGCAATAATATTCACTGTAAAATTTTCTCCGTGCGCATAAAATTGCATCATACTGAAAGTCGACGTGCCGATAACATATCGTACATTACACGTAATCGAGGTCACAAATGAAACTCACCGTGCGAAAAGACGCGAAAACTGAATATTTCACGGAGCTGTCGAGGAGCATTCGACTTGCGAAGGTATGCGATGTCAATTATACGCGCGATGTCAGCTGGTGTAACCGAATGCACAGATGGAATACGAATTCGGCGGGCGGCCAACGATCGGAGCCGGCTTTATTTGCCGGGCGGTCCCCCGAAACTCCGGGGGTAATTATTCGGATAATCGTAGTAATCCCTCGCAAAGCTTCGCTTCTCTCGGCTCATTCCAATCGCGAGAATCGATTAGTGCGTACAGCCGTGCGAGTCCAGCTTCTCCGCGTAATGGTGCGCAGCGGTTCTCATTTGCATGAGGAATCGATTACGCAGATTTCACTCGGCGCTCGCTGTTTTTTTTTTTCTATCGTGATCCGCGTTTAACTGTTTGCTCTTACAAATTGACACGACTAACCGTGCACGCGCTAGACTGAAGATCGCCGTCGTGTTCTTCAACTGTTGGAGTATGTTTAAAAGACGAAAGAGGGTACCGTTAAAATACTTTCTCTCGATTGCTTCACAAATTTACAGAAATCTCAAACTCAAAGCAGCCGATTTGTTACACACATGAAACGCATGCCGCTTCCCAGGCAAGGCTTATTAACATACGGGAAATAAGAAAAAAGAAATCTCGCGGGACATCCGTGTTTGTCGTTGATATACTCACAAATAAGAAGCCGAGATCGGGAAGTGAAGCATAAATTTATTTTCGGAGTAGCCAGTCCGCTCTCTGATCGCAACGCTCATCGAACGAAAACGGAAGCTTTTACAGCTTCCGCTGTGGTAATAGCCGCGAAGCGGTTACGAGGTCGTGGACCTCTCGTCCACGAAAACCAAAGAAAGGAGAAAGTAGAACTCAGCGTTGAACTGACCCGCAATCTCTCTCTCTCTCTCTCTCTCTCTTCTTCTTCTCTCCATTCTATATCTCCTCGACGTTTTTTTTTTTCTCTCGCCGCGAAGGGAACGTTGCTTCACGCAGCGTGCTGTCTTTTTTCATGGAAAGATCTTGAATGATTCAGTCATGCTTTCGACTTTGGTTTATGCGATCACTCGGTGGTCCGCTCGTCGCAGAATCGTTTGTCGCGTGTAGAAAATTGAATGCAACGTGAGTTGAGATTCTTAAGTGTCTCGGATCGCCGTTGATGTTCCTTCAATTTGTTCAACGTTCCCGTCACGCGGACTGAAACACGCGTTCCAGCGCGTCGGAATCACTTAAATCGACGAGGTGGCAATGTTCCTCGCGGCGCGATGATGATCACGCGAAACGCATGTCTCCACCTCCTCGGCGAGCAATCCGCAGACGCACGCGTTGCGTATCCCATTACGGCGACGCGGATGTCGTGGCGAGCATTACGGCGCGAAGTCGCGCCGCGTTAAACATAGGAATTCCAGCATGCCGTTCCGCGACGCGTGGCTAACGGTAACCGGATTCTTTTTATTACGAAACCGCGTTACCGCGCGCGCGTGCGCGCGCTTATTGTCTCGTGGAAAGCGCGCGAGAAACCGTTCGCCAATGATGCGTTGTCCAGCGTTCGCCCTCGCATGCATACGTCGCTTCAATGGCCTTCCACCGACAGGAAAATATCGGACGAAGCGTGGAATGCACCGCGATGCAATTTTGAAGCACGCCGAATTCCGCGGCACGACGAGCGAGCGAGCGCGGCTTCGCCCGAATAGCTATGCGATAAATGCAAAAAGTGTTCCGCGTGTCCGGTCGCGCGTTCTTTTTCAATTTTTATTTATTTTTTTTTTTTCACCCGACCCGCCGGTGTATATCGAAATAATCCGATCCGTGCAGTATTTAAATAATTCAAGATATCGAATTTACACGTGAAATCTCGAGCGCGTTTCGCTTCCGCACGCGAATTATTTCTGGTAATACGGATAATAACGTCATTATTTGCGAAGCGTTGCGTTAAATATAATTCTTTTCTTTCGCATTGGATTTCGGATTTATATCATAAATTAAATATTATCATTTATGCCGATATGTGTACTTTGCTCGACGTCTCGCGATCTCGTCAAGTGAAATTTGCTCGACACAACGCGAGTCGCAAAATTTTTGTTGCGCATTAGCTCTGTAAATCCCATTGAAATTGAAGAGCGCCAATGGAAAACATACTCGGAATATAACATTATAGAGGCTGAAGAGAGGATTATCTTTTTATTATATATTTTTTATCAGAAATTTTGGTATGATTTAAAAAGAGAAAAAGAGGCGAAGAAGAAGATGTTGTGAGACTCGTTGCTACAGAGTTCTATGCTGTCCTGGCGTCAGCTCGTGGTTGTCACCGTGGCCAGGCGTTTGACGCGAATCGATCGGAAACGCGGCGTAAATTAATAACAATCGCACGTTCGATAATAATTGCTACGGGCGAAATTTCCAATGTGTACTGTCCTGACGGCTCTGATGACGGTCTTGAAGGTCCACAATGTTTTGAAAGCGTCAACTGTTGACTGTTGTGATCTCGCGGACGTTCAGTCGCGAACGATGACGTAGCACTTTTGGCCGATTGTTGTGGATTTTTCGAGCGTATGTTTCCGTGTTATTGCGTCTCGAGCCGGCGAGCGACGCGGAGCACACGTGTGCCGGCGCGTTAATTACGATCCCGTCGGTCGAGTGAAATATTTCGTTGGCTCGTGAAATATTTAATCGGGCTCTCGTCGGCATCGCGCGGTCATTAACACGCGTTTCTCCGATCGAATCACGCGAGTGTCAGTGCCACGTGTGAGTATCCAGTGTCCACGACGGAGCAGCCAGGACGGCGGAGCGCAGGACACCGGGATGCGATACGCCGCACATTTCGAGGTACGACAGATCATTTCTCATGCACTTCCGGCTCTAATGGACGGGTGTGCCGAGAGTTAAGGAAATACCCGAGTTAGATTGACATTCATTGGTCAATTGTTATTTGACAGGCAATCATAACTCTGTCAATTTCGCGGGTCTCTCATCAACCTGTACACTGTAAAAACTGGTGTGTTAAATTTAATATTTTATGTGTTCCAAATCATCCACTCTCATTTGTGTGTAAATTTAACACATGTGGTAAAAAGTAACACGCATGATATGTAAACAATTAACATAAGAATTTAACACTTGAATACCGTCACAGTTTGTGTTAAATTGACATATGTATAATGTTAAGTTAATTAAAATAAAACGTTACTTTAACACTTGAGAGAAGTATTAATCTACGGTTTTGTGATAAAATGAAAATGTTAAATTGACATAATCTATGTCTAACATATTATGTCAATTTAACACAATCTGTGATTCCTAACGGTATTCAAGTGTTAAATTTTTGTATTAATTTTTTCCATATTATGCGTGTTACTTTTTAACATATTTGTATTAAATTTACGCATAAATGAGAGTGGATGATTTGGGACACATGAAATGTGTTAAATTTAGCACATCAGTTCTTACAGTGTAGTTATTTTGCGCGCTGCGAGAAATATTGATCCAAATAGCCAAATATTACAACATCCGAGCACTAAACTTCGCGAAACTTGTTTCTCGTTTGCAAAAATCAAGCGAAGCATAATTCAATAGAACGTCTTCGGTCGTCTTGCGTTGCATCGCAAGGTAGCCTTGATCAGACAATGAACACGACA